AAGATTATGGACTTGTAGGCTTCTTAAAAATAGTATGAGGGTATTACACTTTAAACATTTTGCCGTTGTTTTTTATAATTAGCATAGTTTTCATTTTTGTAATGGCTAGGTCTAGGAATGAATGCACAAATACGATTGATTATTTTCCCCCTTTATACCTTGAATATGAAGGAATCTAGATATAATATGCTGGCTCAAACTTCATCCCACCTGGAATTTCGCCAAACTTTAACAAACAAATAACTGTATTTTTTTTTTTTTTAAAAAAGGACATTTCATGATAAGATTGATAGGTATGCATATGATGCATTACTCCTATCTATGTCTTTTTAAAAAGTACCATTGGAAATATCCACTTCTGTTCCCTGTTTATCACCCATAACTGTCTTCTAGTATTTCAGTGTCTAAATGTAGAGCTAGCTAAAGATGCTGAGGATGGAAACAACTGAAAGGTATCTCTAAAGACATGCTGCTAACATTCTTTTTTCAATGGTAGATCTAAATGCAGTTGTATAATTAATTCTGTAATTACTACAATTATATATTTTATTGGCTTAGAAGATAACTTAATGTGTTGATATTTAAATAAGCATTTTTATCGGCTTAAGCTTTATTCATTAATTCAGATTTTATGATAGGCTCTCATCTTTAGAATTTCTACAAGAAGCCTGAGTGTAGTTAAAGGGTAACTTTTCAGATTTTTTTGAGGAACCTGGACGAAGTTGTTCAGTGCAAAATGTCACACTAAACAGCATTAAACTAGGTCTTCTGTTAAAAAATGAAAAAGAGAAACTTCTCATAAAGTTGACGTAAGCAAATATCCAGTAATTGCTGGGATATTGTACAATATAATACGACAATCCCTTTTTTTATATATTTTGTCTTTTCTTTAAAGCCTTTCTTTTGTGCCGGTCAGATGTACTAGTTTATCAGGTGGCCATTTTTGTCGTTTTTATCTTTATTTTGGAAGAATGGTGGCTACTGACATTTGGTGGGTGAGGCTTCGGTGGTGGTTCTTCTCATGTGTGTTTTGAATAATGTAGGAGATGATATGCTCAAACTTGTCATGTCAGAGCAGCCTGTTTAATGCAAATATGGCTATAAAATGCACATTACACTTACAACTAGGTATAAAGAAATTTAGGAAATTTAGCTTTAGGAAACAGATTGATGTATGCCGGCTTTAGTCTCTGAAACATTTTTTTTTTTTTTAAGTCGTACTTTAGAAACAGAAATAACTGATAAGACATAAATGTGTGTGCATGAGCAACGTATGAGGGACTGTAGCAGAAATGGATTTTTTTTTCTCCTGAAGTTGTTGAATTCTGGGGAGCCGCAAATGCTGTATCATTCCCTCAGGAGTTAGAGCCTCTCCCTCTCCCCTGTGCCTGCTCTTTACATCTCAAAAATATGTTGTGTACCCCCTCAAAATTGGGTTTGAGTTTTTGTTATTTAGTCCCTTTTGCCTAGACACTTGGCTAATTTGGGACTGTTTCTTGCCACTAGGATAGTGATAAAAAGGCAGGATTTATTTTATAATACGGTGTTATGAAATTCCTTAGAACCATGTAATGAACTTCTCGAGGCTTTGGATCGGACTCCTTCAGCTTAAGAACAAAACACTTAATTTACTTGCAGAGTCAGACTTTCTAAGCAGGTTTTCCCAAGCTGCTTCTCTGTTTCTATATGAAGGGGTCTGTATTTGGAGGCAAGCCAAGGTGCTTCAAGTATCTGTAGTGACAATAAATAAACATCAAATTAATAAAAATATAAAATGAAATAAATTATGAAATGAAAATGAAATAAAAATGGAATCACTTGACTAATTGACTGTGGCAAGCAATTTATTGAATAGAAGTATGACTGAATAATTGTGATATGTTTTGTTTGACATACAAAAGTCTTGCCTTTGTTTTCAGGGAGAAGGACCTGAACGCAAAGTTTATTATTTCAATGGAAAAAAATAAAACAACAATCACAAACTTAAAGGTGAGTAATATTCTAACTAAGTAGCTTCCAAGACTTGACTGGACAAAACAGTGGTGCTCACTTGCTACAGTGCAGTATGGAGAACATCCTTAGTTTTGTAAATACTTGAATTCATTCTTTGGGAAAACACATTAAACTGTTACCAGTTGTACCACAGTTTTATGAAAAACATTCTGTAGGTATCTCCTAGGTTTTTCTGAGTTTTTTATTGTTCTAGTCATTACTGAGATGGAAGTTAAAAGCCTAAAAGAAAGGTATATCCTCAGTAGCTAATATACCTTCAGGTGACTTGTAAAAGCAATCTCCTGGAATTTTCATGAAAATGAACTAAATCCGAAGTCCCCACCACTTGTTGTAATATTTTGATGATCTAATTTAACACTTCTCTCACCAAGAGAAGTCGTTCTCAACAAATATCTATTTGCAAGATAGATTTCAATGGCAAATAAACCGTGTACTGAAATTTCTTTTTTATGTATCTCTACTGGTTCAGATAGCAATATGCCTTAGCAACATACATCTGCTAACTGCCCTGTCTTGAGCATAATGTTAGCTTTAACCAGCAGGCCCATAAGACCAATTTAATTACAGCTCTGCACTGCATTTACAATGCAAAGGTTTCTCTGGCTCCTATTGATTTTATGTGAATAATCCCATACTACAAGCTGAATTTCATACGCAGGCCTGATTTATGTCAGTGTAAGTATTGTGACAAAAATGCACTGCTGTGCGATAAGAAGGCTAAAATTCAAAGCAAAATTCAGACTCTGCTTATGCTTTAATTCTGAAGGCTGTATCTACTGATTTTTTTTCACTGTTCTTGAAATAATAGGCCAGCCTATCATTGTGATCTTCTTACTAGGTGTAATTCTATGTTAAATTTTTATTCTGTATAGTCGTTCTAAAACATTTAAAAATATTTAATTAGTACATATTGTACCAACTTCTATTTTATTTTATTTTAATAGATACCAGAGGGTGGAACTGGAGACACAGGAAGAGAAAGAACCAAGACATTTACCTATGATTTTTCATATTTCTCAGCAGATAGTAAAAGTCCCAGCTTTGTGTGTCAAGAAATGGTAGGATTTCTAAATGTTAATAATGGATCTTTTCTGCCACTTTTCTTTGACCTGAAAGCATTCTTTCCATTTGATCAAATTTCCATTTAAAATACTTTCATAAGTTAGAAATTCCCTAGATGCCTGAGAGTTTGAGGTTTTGTTTTGGTTTATTTTCTTTCTCCCCTTTTTTTTTTTTTTTTTTTAATTTACCTAATACTGCTAACTTACCTAACATGGTTAAGTGCTTTTCTCATACTGAAAAATAAATGCCTTTTTTCTGGTACTCTTGTCTGATTTGTCTTGTGAGGTCACGTTAGGAAACTTCTTTGACCCATTTTGTGGGAGGAGATGCTCGATTTGTTTTTGAACAGATTTAGAAAAATCACTGTTGAGAAACAAGGATACATCCTTAACTCATGAAGATGGGAACATTCTTCTTGTGCAGTTGAAGTTATTTTCTGATCAAAAGATTTAGACATTGATGAATCTGCTCAAAGGAGGCTCATCTCTCTCAGTACTTTCTCTTGGTTTGGGAAGGACAAACCTGCCTTTTATCCTGCATGCTCATAGTAGAAAATATGATGTTTTGCATTCTTAAGTTCTAGGTTAGCAGTATCTTGCACAAGTTTAGAGGAGTGTGTCTTCCTTTTTCAAAAAAAAAAAAATTTTGTGACCCCAGCCGAAATTCACACTTTTGATGCCCCCATCATAGAGCAAATTAATATAAGAGGCAGGTTAATATGGAATTATAAATATAAATGGATATCAACCTGTGTAGTGTTCAGTTTCTATGCTTCTAAACCATAAGTGTTAAAAGAGTTTCTCCCTTAGTAACACCATTTTGCCTCTATTTCAGAGTAGATCAGGTTGAAGATCAGGCAGGATCCCTGATGGCTTGAGGAAAAATATGGCAATGTAAGGATAGCTGCAGCAGCCTTTGGTAGCTGCAGCAGCCTTTAAGCCTTTAGACTTTAGCCTGTGAGCTTTATGCTTTATGGTAGCAGGAGCAGTATGCTGGCATCCTAGACACGTCTTAAATGTCCATATTCAATATTCTGCTATTATGGCATGTGTCTCCATCCCAAACTTCCTCTTTAGTCCTGACTGCTTCTCTTGTTCAGTCATAAAAATGCTTTTGTCCTTCTATCAAGTGTTGGATTAAATACCATGTGTACAGCGCATTTAAAACAGAAGGCATTTTAAAACAAAAGGAGTGCAGTTTCTAAGGAATTGCTCCACAAGCTATTGTTTTGCTTGTATTATTGATTTCATATTTAATTGAAAGACTTTGCACTTAAGCTCTTATCAGCTTGCTGCAGAAATTTCCAGCTTTCTGTACCAGTGACATAAGGAAGCATGCTTTTGTTCATGTGCAGCTTGCTAGGGAATAAAACTGTTCTTGAATACTGGTAGTGCAGATGTCTGGTGTGCTTTGCTTATGATTGTTATATTTTCCCATTTAAAGGTAGAAAAATGAGAAATGAAAGCCTGTTTAATGCTACACAAACCATTATTGTCCCTTGCAGATGTAAAATAGACTTTAATGCACAAAAATTAGAGCAGGAGTGGAAGTTAACCTTCAACAGAAACTAAGAGAACTTTGTTCAGTTTACTGCTCTTTTGTGACTAACAAAGTCCTGTGTTAATAATCTGTTTTCTGATCTGTGTTTTAAGTTCTCGTGCACAAAGATTACTGACTGTAGTGGTTAGGGACACGTATACATAAGCATCACTGTGCATACTGACTATTTGGTGTCCTGCCTTAAGTCGTTTAGCAGGTCTACAGATATTTTTAGGAGGGAATAGGCAGAGCAAATACATATGGCTCATTTAAAAGCAGCTAGGAGGAAGCTACTGAAAACCCTCCCAGGATGGTAGTACAATGATATAGCAAGAAACATGAAAGTAATGCTAGTTTTCTGGAAAGGTGTGGGTGAGAATTGTGCTGTAGATCTTCGTAAAGGACAGGCTGAGCAAAACCCACACAGGGGTTTTGAAAGAGTATGAGAAGTTTCAATTTGTGCTGTGAGTGAAAAAAGTGTAAGTGGAAATGTTTGGGGAATCCTGTTTTTGCATCTTTGTGCCTGTGCGGGAGGACAGCTATGAGAGCCTGTGCACCCTGGGGAATTTGTAGCAGGGGCCTGGATCAGACTACAGGACATAAAGGCAGATGGGAATTTCAGGAGAGCTGCAGTCAAAACAGTAGTGCGTAAAGACGTGATCCAGACACTGAGATAAGAAGCCAGACACTGAAAAAAATGAAAGAAGGAAAAATAAATCTGTGAGTACTTGGGAAGAAGAATTCAAATGAGCTATTACTTTCAGATGATGAGAGAAAGGAAGATCATGCTTCTCAGGCTGATCTTTCTCTTTGAGAAGTATGACCGATTGCACTATTTTAACTTCCTTGCTCAAGGGAAGGTTGTTATTAAATATTCTACATCTACGACAGCACTTGAGCATTAACGTTTACAAAAATTACCTATCACTCCTCCAAGGAGTCCTAAGGAGGAAGGTCATGACTGCACTGTGTGTTTGCCAGGCTCTACTCATGCCTTGGACATGTTAGCTAATTCAAACCATGTACGCTGAGGCGTTGTGGCCAAGTCATGGGAAGCAGCTATGAGATTTTTGAAAAGCTTGTCTGTGTCGGGTGCCCATACTGATGTTTTCGCTTCTCTGTTAGAAGCGTTATTCCTTGCCTGAGAGACCAGGGAGGATATGGAAGGAAGTGAAGGGTAATATTGATGAAGGGTTAGGAATCTGGGAGGGAAACTGGTAGCAAGAGCTGAATTTGGTGAGAGCAGAGCCACATATTGTGTGATGTGGCCAAAAGCAGTCAGGAAAATAAGAGAAAAAAGAAAACATGAATAATGCCTGATGTGAGAGGAAACATTTCCTATTGAGAAAGAGGCAGGTATATGCAGAATATGTAAATTGGAAATGATAGAAAAAGTAAGTAGATAATATGGAAAAGTAGTGTTTTTTGTGGGTTTTTTTTTTTTGGTTTCGTTTTTTGTGCTTCTAAATGTAGAGTGGATCTGTGAAAGAAGAGAAAATATAAAATGTATCATTGCACTGCTGTAAACTAAGTGTAGTAGCAAAATTTCTTTTAAGCATTGAATTTTTGTCCTGTAATAAATAGCATTGGTTGATGCCAATAGCTTATACTGTAGTATTTTAACATTATTATTGTTTACCGTTTCCCATGGAGACAGTCTTTCCCAAAAATCTCTTAGGTCTTCAAAACTTTTTTTTCATTTGTTTCAGGTTTTCAAAAATCTTGGTACTGATGTGCTTAAATCTGCTTTTGAGGGTTATAATGCTTGTGTCTTTGCATATGGACAGACTGGATCTGGAAAGTCCTACACGATGATGGGAAATGTGGTATGTCATATTTTGCAAATGAACATTTTTATTCTTAACCATGCATTGAAATTATGCTATTGCAAGAGCAATGTCTTATATTACTGCCTATTTTCTCTGTGTCCTCACAACTGTCATTATAGCTTCTAGCAGTAATCTGAGATTCTAGAAGCTGTTTCTTCTATAGCTGGATCCTTAACCGTTGAAAGAACTGTCTTTAGGAGATGGCCTGTTCTATTGGAGAAAAAGCTTTCAATTTTGCTGTATATCAGAACCAATACCCAGGTTGAGGCAAGAAAGAAGATACTGATTATGAGGGACTAAATGAATTTTTAAATGCTTAGAAAATTACAAAGAGTCCTCGACCCTTGCTTAGAAAAGGCTTTGAAGTGAAGAGTAGAACCTTGGAGTGAGAGAAGCTAATTTCAAAACACTGTTATGGAACAATGCCGTGGTTTTGATTTGAAGGATTAAGTCATGCTGAACCCTGCAATGAAGAACCTGGAAGAGAGGCGAGATTGGAAGGGGAGTTTGTAGGTTGTGAGGCTAGAAAGGAGCTGGCACAATTGCTCAAGGAGGAAAAGAATTCCCTGAAGTGCTGAGAGAGGAGCATTTTATAAGAGCTGATGGATTGCTCCTGTTTGCAGATTTTATTCTCTTTTAATCCTTGGAAAAAAATACAGCATGTCCTCTGCCAGCAGCAATGAGAAGGGGAATGTTGCCACTTGTCCTTCTTTAGATAGACATTACTTTGGAACTGTAATAAGATTGGCCATTTTGCACCTCCTTGAGTTTAGAAGAATAAATTAGCTGTAAATCTTTTTTTTTTTTTTCTTTTTCCTCTCAGTTTTCCTGGAACAAGTAGCTTTATATTTAAACTTTTATGTATAGACTTTTGTAACCAGCAAAGGTGTTACGACCTAGATGTGTACTTCTATTTCAGAAATCCATACATGACATTTTTATGAGACTTCCTCACTAAATGTAATGACTGTAATCATCAAGAGAATTTGCAAATAAATAGATGGTGAAGTTTGTTTGACACTATTCAGTAATAAAGGTCTAATCTGTCGTCTTGCTGTGATGTATATATACTTTAATATGGTACAAAGGGTGTGTAAAAGAGAGTCAGCTGCCAAGTTGAATGATGGCCCTATCGGAGAGACTCCAGTGCTATAAAAAAACTTGAATTGGAAATAATTTTTCCTTTTTCTCCTGCTTCTATTTGAAAATATAAATTCTGCTATCCTTTTGCTTTAAATATCTAATGTTCTTGGCCCGGGAAGTCTTTTGCTGTAATACTCTGTGCAGCAACCTTTTCAAGGAGTTTGTGGACCAAGTCTTGAGCAGAGCTGCTGAGATAGTCAGAGACCTATAAAATATAATTTATCAAGATTTTCAGTCCACGCTTCCTTTCCTGGGAAAGGAAAATTGAGGAGGAACAAAAGAGTCTTAAGAGCCTTCGAAGATGTGAAATGCTGCTATAGAGAGAAAGGGAACAACTTATTTAAGGGAGATGAGCAAGAAGCAATAGGTCTTTAAAGGCAGTAAAAAGGTTTCTGATGAGATATTACACAAGGAAAACAGACTTTTAATAAGTAAATAAAGCTCTGGAATAGGAACCATAGGAACCTGTTCTGCTCCTCTGGACTACTATGACTGAAAGAAAACTCAAGGAAAAAAACATGTTAGCGATGCGATAGACTTGGTTGAAACTGCCATGAAACTGTAAGGAGTGGAAAGAAAAAAAAAGAGGGGAAAAATGTTTAAATTGAATTTCTAGTTATTGTTAATAAGATACACAAATCTTATACAAATAACTCAAACCCCAAACCCTAACCCTAAACCCAAACCCTTAAGCTTAACCCTAATCCTATCTATACAAATCTACAAAAGATATACAGATATACAAGATATATAAATTATACTGAGAACTACACATTCTTCCTTTCTCATCTCTCTAGTTAATGTTACTCAACTGCAGCTAATACTCCTTATTTTGAGACTTTCTTTGCAGTTGCTCAGTTATGTCAAATGCTAATCATTTGCCTAAAACTTTCTGTAATGGTTGTCTTTCATGTTTTTTTTTTTTTTGCCTTAAGCTTTAATTAAAACTCTTCAGAAGTTTCCAAGCGTGAAATGAATGAAAGAAAAGAATCACTTTTCTTCTGTTACCATGTTGAAAACAAACAAAAAAATGCAACACTGAAAGCTTAGTGGATTTTTCTGTAGATGTAAGTTCCTCAAAAACAGTCTTGAGTCTCTTGTCTAAGACATGCAGACAGGTGAAAGACCAGATATTGGAGAGAGGAGGAATAGATCATTGCTACGTTCAAATTGGTTGTTCAGCTCAATTTGTCCTACTTTGCCTCCTGCTTTGGTTACAAGGCCCCTCACTCTAAGCTAGACCCTCCCTTGCCTCAGCAGTGCCTAGAATGAGTCAGTCCAACGCAGCAGGTCTGTTAGGCTTTTTTGGGCTGGAGGCGAATTGCAGATGAGAGACTGTTTTGTCAGCTCTGATCCCAAGGCTTGCCTGTAGGTTCCTCTCCCCTTGCTGTGTTCTTCGTGCTATGTTTGCTTGTTTCGGCTCCACTGGAATGTCACCTGCCGCCTTCCAGATGTGGTGGGAGGAGGTGTGCTTGGCAGGCTCGCAGTGTCACAGAATCACCAAATGGCTGAGGTTGGAAAGGGCCTCTAAAGATCTAGTCCAGCCCTCCTGCTGAGGGACACCTAGAGCACATGGTACAGGGTCACATCCAAGGTGAGATTTGAAGATCTCCAGAGAAGATGCTTCCACAATTTCTCTAGGCAGCCTGTTCCAGGACTCTGTCACCCTCCACCTCTGAACATTCAGCACTCCACAGGAATGTACCAGTGAAGAGCATGCAGCTTCTTGTTAACTGGAATGACCAGCTTCTCCTCCTTCCTTCTGCTGCTGGGAGCAAAGTCCTGCTTGAGCTAAGAAGGGTGGCTGCAAATGGGTTTCATGGGAGCCAAGAGAAAAGGAGAGCTCCACACGGTGTCTGAGATGGTGGGATTGCTCTCTTGAGAGACAGGATCCATTGCCTGGGTCCTCAGTGAGAACTGTGTCTGCCAGGAGACCAGTGGCCTCACTGGGGCAAGGCTCAATTCTCAAGTGCAGGCTTAACCTAGAAGAAGAAATCTTTCCACGACTTGCTGTTTGTGTATTAGCTGATGTGCAAGGACCATTGCACTGTAGTAGATAGTTCCAGCCCTTCTGAGAAACCACACAGGTGCCTGTAGGAATTTTGTGAGGAATATGTGGGTTTTTTTTTTTCAGTTTGCTCTTTCTGCATAAAAACTCTTTCATTGCAGAGTCAAGCATTCAAAAATTAAACATTAGATTAATGTGATTGCATTGTGGAATAAACTTACTATAGCTTTACTTTCATCATTCCATACCAATTTATCCAGAGGACCTGCTATATCTTTTGAGTTAAAGGATGTGCTGCGATCTGGGAATGAGGGATTTGAATGAGGATAGCTTGTGAACAGATTTACATGGCTATTGCCCCATTCATGGCAGACATTGCAATGTCTATAGTGAAATGAGGCAGATGGGGAGGTGAGAAAGGAAGCAGTGGGACAAAGTAATTATGTTGCACTGGAGGGCCAGATTCTGCCTTAAGAAGTTGGCGTTATTTGGAACAAGTGAGAGGGATAAAATACAGCCCAATTGTAAGGAACTGCATCAAGTACATAAATTTCAAGGCATGCAGTGATTAAAGTGGCAAGATGATTGCAAGCAAATAGATGAAGAGAATATTTGTAGGTTTTCAGGTTTGTTTCTCACTGTTCCTGGATCTTGGAGCTCTCAGCTAGTGATCTTAAATATTATTTTTTTCTAAATATTGCGTATTTCAGCCTGGAGAAGAGAAAGCTGAGAGGGGATCTAATCAGTGTGTATAAGGATCTCAACGGAGGCAGCGAGGAGGATGGGGCTGGCCTTTTTTCAGTGGTGGCCACTGATAGAACTAGAGGAAATGGCCAGAAACTGAAGCACCCAAAGTTCCACAGGAACTTAAGGAAAAATTTCTTGACAGTGAGGGTGACAGAGCACTGGAACAGGCTGCCCAGAGAGGTTGTGGAGTCTCCTTCTCTGGAGATCTTCAAAACCCGCTTGGATACAGTCCTGTGCCACGTGCTCTAGGTGACCCTGTGTGTGCAGGGGGCTTGGACTAGATGACCTCTAGAGGTCCTTTCCAACCTTAAGCATTCTATGCTTCTATGTATGCATGCATATATAGCCTTACAAATAAGAATTGTTGCTGTTTCAGGGTGATGCTGGTTTAATACCTCGAATTTGTGAAGGCTTATTTAGCAAAATAAGTGAAAAAGCAAAGCGGAATGAGGCATCCTTTCGAACAGAAGTCAGGTAAGTCTTGGCATGTTATATTGTTTGCTAATTATCAAACTGGTTTCAGTTAAAACCACATGGTTTCACTTGCTGATTCTGAGAAAGGTGCGCCTCAGATAAGTTTTCATGCTTATCTTCGGACCTATAATTGATTTTTTTTTTTGAAGTTTGTAGTCAGAATGTGCAATATTTCTCACTTCTGTTTATTTTATTTTAAGGGCAATGTTTTTGCCATTAGAAAGTATCTTCCCTATTTTTACTCTTTCTTTCAAACCAGCATTAGAATCTTTAATCGTGCTCATGTCTGCTGCCCTTCTACTTTCTTTTACTTCTACTTTCTTGGCTTTGTAGTTGACATTACTTTCTTAAGCTAACTTCTTGGATCTGTTTGCTTCTCCAGGCATCTTGCCTCCAAACACAGTCACAATTACTTTTTAAAAAAATGCCTTGTATCAATGAGCATGTTTCTTGTTTTTGTCTTTCAGTTATCTGGAAATTTATAATGAACGCGTGAGAGATCTTCTCAGGAGGAAGTCATCAAAAACTAATAATTTACGAATACGAGAACATCCGAAAGAAGGGCCTTATGTTGAGGGTAACAGCCCTTTTAGTGGTGTTGACTTGACCTTTTCTATTGTATAGTGCTTTTTTATCTTTTGAAATGCAAATTATGATTATTGTTTTCCTGTAGCATAAAAGTATTATGGTTTCTGTTTTATGGGCTTTTTTCAGAGTTGTTTTGAAGTATTGGTTGAATATAATTTATAAATCTTTTATATTGGAGCTGGAAAAAGCCTTTTAGTATCTAATAGCCTTAATCCATCATCTGCCAGGGAAGATTCTTTTCTTTTAAGAGATTATGCATGTAGTATTCCAGTCTATACTTTAGGAAAATTGATTTTTATTTTTAAATCATTAGGTTTACCGTAAATTTGCTGTTTACCCAAAGCCTCATTCCTTTCCTTAAAAATGATAAAGCAGCATGACAATAAACACTGTAATTGCAGAAATACTTTCTCTTTTATAAAGAAAAGTGTACCTGTGAGCATACTGTAACACTTTTTTATTTTCTTTAGATTTGTCTAAACATTTAGTGCAAAATTATACTGATGTAGAGGAACTTATGGATGCAGGAAATATAAACAGAACTACAGCTGCAACTGGAATGAATGATGTCAGTAGCAGGTCTCATGCTATTTTTACAATCAACTTCACTCAGGTAATAAAGAAATGTTTTATAAGCCTTTTTTCTTTCTGAAACTTCCTCTTTTACCTCCTCTTTGTATTCCTGATTCAATGATGTGAAAAAAATGGAGAAATTTAATGTATTGTTTTCTTTTTTTTTCTTTTTTTTTTTTTTGGTTTACGTGTAGTAAACTCATTTTTTAATGTCTCGAGCTGTTTGCAATTCCTGGGGTTCTTTTTATACCACCCAAAGATAATTTGCTAGAAGAAGAAAAGATAGCATGGGGACGGTTTGCTCTCCTCACAAATTTTTGCATGTTTCTCCCTAAAACTAAACATACACAAAATCCCATGCACTAATCTCTGCTAAAATCCTCATTGTAGAGCTATGGGAAGAGAATGAGAGGCAGGCATCATTACTGTTGTACTGTAAACAGTTGCCAGTTGAATCATTGTACAAAGACAGATTAAAAGGTGTGAGGAAATCTTAGTTAAAATCATAGAATAAAATTGCAATTGCTACTTAACTCAAGCTGGGGGAGAAATTGAATGTAGGTGAGTCTTAGTGTGTGTGCGCATCTTCAGCAACGAGCAGTATCATTAAATATTAGTTGAAAGTGTACTAATATGAATGTAGAAATAAACTGCCTGTGCATCGTGTAACTATCGATCCACAGTTGTTGGTGCCTGCACATAAATTGTTTTAAAGTGGCAAATTGGACAGTCTAAAAAAAGTAACTATTTGAGTATGAATCATGCAGCAAGTCATGATCAAATGCTTTTCTGTGGCACCTCTAGTTCACTGGTCTTCTAAAACTCTGCTGTTGGAAACTGGTTAAATTCAGTCATGACATGGAAAGGACAATTAGACTGAATTCAGTAAGATTTTACAATACGGTAGCTTAATGCATTTTTTCTTTCTTTCTTTCTCATAGGCCAAATTTGATTCTGAAATGCCTTGTGAGACTGTTAGCAAGATTCATTTGGTAGATCTTGCTGGAAGTGAGAGAGCAGATGCCACTGGTGCCACAGGGGTTAGATTAAAGGAAGGGGGGAATATTAACAAGTCTCTAGTTACTCTGGGAAATGTCATTTCTGCCTTAGGTGAGTGTCTTTTTTTGTGTGTGTGTGCTTGGCTGTTTTTTTGTTTTGTTTTTAATCATTGCATACATTTGTGTTCCTTTAAAGTTTGTATTGCAAAAAAGTGGCCTAACATGTAGAGTTTCTGAAAATGAATGAAAATACATTTATTGTTATTTTCTCCCTCCTCCCACCTTGCTTTACAGCTGATTTATCTCAGGATGCAACAAATCCTCTTGCAAAGAAGAAGCAAGTATTTGTGCCTTACAGGGACTCTGTGTTGACTTGGCTGTTAAAAGATAGCCTAGGAGGAAACTCAAAAACTATCATGATTGCTAGTAAGTGTTTTTAAATGACTTTTTGCATCCTGAACACCTCATGCTTAATAGGATTAGCTGTAAATATTTAGATTCCAGATGCTTCATTAAGACAGAGCATTGTTTACAGCTTTTAATGATTTATTTCTCTCTGAGCTTTCTAGTAATCCTTTACCTATACTCTACATAACATCTTATACAAACATTGTTCTTTGACAGTGAATCAAACCAGGCAGCAGTGAAATTAAGCCTGTTCTCATGGCATGTTTGGGGTTGATCCCGTTTGTTCAGTAACGTCGCAATCAGCCGCGTGCGCCTCCAGAATGTGAGAGTTTTGTCTGCGCGTGTAGATCCTGCTTGTCCGTGTGCATTATGCTGGGTGTCTTGACTGGTCACAGATGTAGCAAGGCACCCACACTGTGTGTGTACAGTCAGTAGGCGTTTGCTTGTGTAAGTGAGGGCCGCCCACTTGTATGTGCCTAATTACTTGCATCTGTTCTGACACCGAACTCGCTTCTGTGTCCCTCCTTCTGCCTCGTACCCAGCGTAAGTATTAGCTAATCTGACCAGATAAAGCAAAAGCTGCTGCTTCTGCTTGCTATCCATCTGTGTTGCAGACAGCTTGTCCGTGCACACTCAGGTTTGGGACCTAGAGGAAGTCTGGTGCATCTCTGCTTTTACACCTACCGCCCTAGTAAAAAAAGATCTGGCTTTGTGCATCTCGTCAATCTTGATGCATAAATAATTTTGCTTTTCCCAAACTGTTGTTTTTGTAGCAATAGTGGCAGAAACAAGCTCGTCTTTTTTGACATTTAGTGGATAAGAATATGCCATGTTCATGCGGCCTACTTTTTGGATACAGACAGCATTTTGACTTTGTGTCTGGATTTAATTATTTATGATTGATTTTTGTGCAGTTTTTTCTTACAGCTTTCTTTTGAATCATAGAAAGCTCAGTAAGAGGCACTCAGTAAGAGCTTACCTATGGCATAAATATTGCAGATTTTCAACAAATTGGGGTAGGAATTCTGTTTGCAAAAGATAGAGGTAAAGCTGTGAGGACCTTTCAGGGGAGGAGAAGGGAGGATTTGGGATGTTGGAGCTGCAAGATGTGAGGAACAACTCTGAGGTTTTTCTCAATTTTCCGTTCAAATAAAATGCAATCCAAGGGATGAAATCTTTTCTTGTGCAAAAGTACATTAAGTTTTGATCTATCATGTTTATATAAAATATCATATCTTCTTTCCAGAAAGAGAACAACAGAGTAGTGGAGAAAAAAATTAATTAAAATAAGGTAGGAGTGTAGTATTAGCTAAGGGAAACACAGTCTGTTGGCAGGTGCGTTTTCCCTAAACTTGGGAGCCACTGCCACATTTTGAACATTTGTTGCTGTTGAGAGAATGAAGAAGGATGGATATTTGAAGTCTAATTTTTCAGCATTTGACTCTTCTGCTCTCTTTCACTCTGATTAACTAGGCTTCTAATCTCCCATCATTTCTGAACTATGATCTTTTCTGTGTTTTTGGTATTTTGCAGATCTAATTATCTTTTTAATTTGGAACATTTGTACATTACTAGAAAGCTTTTATGTGAAGTGTGTATGGATAGCAGTTCATTAGAACTCCCTTGTTTTTAACGAGGAAGTTACCTGCGAAGAAGTAACCTGAAGTTATCTAGTTTTGTTTTCTATTGTTGCACAAAGTGATATACTTAGTTTACCAAGTAGTTTAGCCTGTAATGGCTCTGCCTGCTGCCAGACACCTGTAGCTCAGCAAAATGGCTAGATTTGTAGGTGAGTAATAGAAACTCTTGTCTTGTTTTGGTCGTCACATCTGCTTTTTGCTTAAATGTTGCTTAATTTACCTTCAAAACTGAGACTAGGTGTATTCTATTTTTGCCTAAAATGATGTTTACATTGGATGATTACATGGATGCTTATGTTATACTCATTGTTTTTTCCACTGTTCTTTTAAAAAGAATTGCACAAAAAAGCATATGAGACATGTTTTTGTTTGCTAGAGAGATGTAACGTTAAATAGATTGAGACCAAGATTTCTTTACAACTCTTGATTAATTGGTCTGCTTATTCCAGTACACAGTGGTGCAACTTCCTTTACTTAGGTAATAATGATACAGAAGCAGTGGAGTGAGGTGAAGGATTGAGACAAACCATAGCCATAGTTTTTGATCATATTTGTGCCTTTTAGTCCATGTTAAATTTATCTGACTTTTAAGAAACAAACCAACTTTACTAAGTGAGACATATGGTGCTGGATAAATTGTTTCTGCTTTCAATCTCCTCAGCTATTTCACCTGCTGATGTCAATTATGGAGAAACTTTAAGTACACTTCGATATGCAAATAGAGCCAAAAACATCATCAACAAGCCTACTATTAATGAGGATCCTAACGTCAAACTGATCCGTGAACTGAGAGCTGAAATAGCCCGATTAAAAGCCTTGCTTGCTCAAGGGAATCAGGTTAGTTTTGCTTGAAAGTTATGTATACTTTTCATTGAGCTATAATAACTCTTTGTAGAATGTAATGAGATAATTATCTTTCATGATATTGATTTGAGTAAACAAGCTGTATGAGGCCATGAATGAATATTATTTTCCCGATTGAATCAGTTTCTATATGGCTGGTAGATTACCTGTTTTAACATAACAGGGGAAAAATTACCAACTCAAAGCTTTTAGCTTTGTCTGAGTAAAATCAGACCTTGATTGCAATATGCTGTGAAATAGGTGGTCGCACAACATAAGATAACTGAACAGTAATATGTTGGCTGTATCTAGTCTGATGAGCTGGAAGGCCCCTCAGTTGGTTCCGTTAAGTAACAGAACTTACAAAGTAATTGAGATGTTCAAATACAAAACCGTAGGAACATGGACAGGTTTGAAAACATGGTGTTTTATGCACAATATGTTAGAAAGCAGGTAAATGTGCTAAGCAAATATGTCAGAGTTTTTTCAGTGTTAGATTTATCTCTCAGCTGAGGGAAGGTGAAAGAGTGCAAGGGGGCACTGATTTTGGTAACTGTCAATTTTAATGCTCAGGTAAATATCTGATTATATCCCTGTGCAATATAGAGTAGAGCATACATAATACGCAGTGAGTGATACAAGTGAATCCAAAAAAGATAAAATGGAACATTTAAAGCTTTTCTGTGACTTTTGGTCTTGACTTCAAAAACTTTTAACAATTATTTGATGACTGTTCAGCAACAGCAAGGTTAAATGAAGCAGCAGGACATGATAATGATGCTGGTGATTGTGAGCCAAAATGCTGTAACGCACTCAGACTGGGAATTAAGATGGCCAGATAGATTTGTGACAATAGGGCAAGAAATGCTAATACTTAAAAGGGGTATTATTGTTATGAGTCATTTTTACTATACGAAGGGAGTGTCTGCTTGACTGAATAAAATTTGTTTCATTTTTGAAGGATGCTGATTTGGCTCGTGCTTGCTCTACTGAGTCACTGAATTACTGATTTTAGCAATCAGGAAACTCACTTGTTATTATTTACTCCCATATGCTAGGAAAATTAACAAAAAAAGTTGCTCCTGAAACAAGTATAAACCTTTTTTTAGACCTTTAAGGACATTACTTGATTCATTGACAGGCAATCATTTGAATAAACACAGGAAAACTGAAGAGTTAGGACATATATATGTATATAAAAAATACATTTTTCATATATATTCATATATATGTAAAAGAGTTAGTAGATGTCAGTGTCACGACCGCGCTGTTCAGTTCATATCGGGCTGTACATGTGTATGGTTACTTTGCAAAGGTTTCACTCTGGACCCTGGATACACAGAACATTCTTCTGCACAGGCATTTTTTGTGAGCCAGTAGTTCCTCTTTGCTTCTGTTTTTCACAGTGCTCGTGTTTTTCTGTCAATATTATGCCCTGCAAACATTTGCTGCATGAGCTCAGTTAAGCTCAATTTCTTCATCTGCACTGAGGATGGCGAAGCTAAGCTAACAGTAAAACACACTTGTCTTGAGGCCAATTGTCTCTTCTAAGTAAAGCTACTTGGGGACTGCTGGCTCATGCTTGAGCAGATAGGGTTTGGGAAGACATTTGAAATGATACTTTAAATTTATTTCTAGAAATATCTAATTTTATTTTATTAGAATCTGCAATGTTTCAGTTCAACACGCACGTTCTTATAGACTTCATCCATGCAACATTTGGTGAAGAAGGAGATGAGACCATAGTATGAAACAGGAAGGGGCCTGCAGATGATTGAAGAAGGGGGTTCTGCTGTGTTGCAGACAATTAAAAAACTCCTGATGGGGTTGAATTGCTCTATTACACCCCTGGGTTTTTCTCATATTCTTTGCCAGAGGAAAATAATTTTATTTTTCTTTCCAGGGTGATTGTTTTGGATATATGGCTTGATTTAGAGCTAACAAAGTAGATATAACATAGAGCCCTTTGTAGATCTAATGTTTTGACTCCGTTCTAAACTGTAAAACAGCAGCTATTCCAATATAAATCTGGTTCTGTTGCAGGATGTGATGGATGCCTGTGTGGGAGAGAGTAGAGGAGTAGGTTAAGTTAATTGAATTTGCGATGATTGGTTAAAGAGCATCTGGTGTTAGATATACACAAGAGAATATAAATCCCTGCTTAATTTCTTCTGTGGATTCCCTTTCTATTTCCAGAATTTCATGTTGCAAATGCTTCCATAGATCACTGGAAATGCTGTTTATCAAAAATACTGTAGAATGTTATATAAAAATGAATGATTTAAATGTGTATATTTGTGTGTGTGTGTTGTGTGTTACTTTTTCTTTTTTAAGATTTTTTTTCCCAAATAAACAGTATACTTATATGTTCTATAGCAAAGTACTGAACCACACAAGGCTATTGGTATATAATAATTTTTCATTTTTAACAGAAATGTAACAATAACTGTATCAGAAAACTGCTTGGTTTCTGTGTATGGCAATGTGCATACACAAGGAGTGAAAATACCCCCAACCTGCTGGTTTTTATTCAGAATGTCTGCTTTGACAAAATTCTGATTATTGTGATTATACGCGGTGGTTTGAGGTGATATGTCATATATTGGAGTTGAAAATATTCTGTACTAAAGTATTAAAAATGGTGAACTTCTTTCATTTGATTACAACAAGGTTTATTTTTTGGCATACTCATGTTGACTTTTACAATTTTAGATTGCCCTCTTGGATTCTCCAACAGCTTTAAGCATGGAGGAAAAGCTTCAGCAGAATGAAGCAAGGGTGAGTTGTTTGATACATCAAATCAGAAAGAAAATGGGTTCTCAATGCAAAACAAGATCGTTTTCTCATTTTTTGGGGGGGGATAAATGTATTTTGTTTTCCTTTCAAACAGCATTTTCTTGGTCTTTAACTGTATGTAACTCTTATTTTTGTTGTCCTGTTAATGCAAGCTAACATTATAAACAAATTGTGCATCTTTAATATTTAACTTAACTCTTTTGCTTAAGTAATCAAAATATATGATCTCAAGCCAGCTTGCCTTATTTAAAAGGTACTTAAAATATAGGAAGGAAAACCCACTAGCTTTCAGTACTAGATTATAGTAATCAGAGTGACAAAGAAACAGAAAATGCAGTAGATGCTTCTGGGGGAACTGGTTGACTAAGTCACGTTTTCAAGTAGCTTGTTCCGAATGTTTTCCGAAAGTGCCGGTTCTCAAATCTTACAGGTGTGTGCCAATAGGTTTGGTGCCTAATGAGACATGTAATTTTTTGTTTGAATATTGGGTGGGTGAATTTCATAGTGTGTCTCACGGCAAGTGCTTTCAGTACCCAGCCCAAGAGACCTGTTGGATCATGCGAAGCTTCTTCATATAGGTACGCTCATATCAGTCCAAAAGAATACAGATATAATGGTATTCTCATTTGCTTAGCTTACAATCTATCATTTTTAACTTGTTAGTATTAATTATTCTTATTTTAATAATAGAAATGTAAACTTCATGCTTTATTAATGTATTTTAATATTTGTTAAATATCAATATTTAATGTTTTTACCTGTTTTTAGCACTGCTGCAAAGTTTTTTTTTTTTTTTAAATAATGTTACTAAGGTTTTGGGAAAGGATATGGAATTCTTCAAATATGTGTTACTGAATTTATTTGCCATTTTTGGTTCTGAATATTGTCAATGAGGCTCCAATCAAATATGGATACAGATGTCTTTACTGAGTTAAATTAAAAGACTTCACTGGTTCTGCTTTATGCTTACAAGTTCAGCACATTACATTTGGAGAAATGTGTTTTACATACTTAATGGATGTCAAAAAAAACTAGATTCTTTTGTATATGTTTGTACATTTTAGGAATCTGGTTGTTAATACCAATTTTAAAGACAAGTTGGAAACACTGATTTATAAACTGACACTTTAAAGTAAACTTCATGACAAGTATTAGTAAAATGGATGCATTAGTATGAGCTGTGTTATGAGCCTTAACTGCAAAATAGACTACAGACTTCTCTGTGGCAAAATTTCTGCTAGGGACACATTTTAAAACTTTATAGGATGTGCAGAAACTCATTATGTTGCATGCAATACTAAACACCAACCTGCATAACAGTATTTCTAGCCTTCAACTGTAAGTTACTTTTCTGTATTCTTATCAGGTTTTTAAAGCTCAGTCAGAGTTGAATGACAATTTGGTTTGCATGTGTAGCAGGCTATATTTTTGTGAGTAAGAACATAAACCTTCTATGTCAGTATAATTGCATAATATAAACTGCTGATTATGTGCTAACTAAGGGATGTTTTTCAAGCTCTGCTTGTCCTCCTCAGAAGTCTTGGCTTCTCTGCGGGGGAAATATATTAAGCATATTTTATTATCTTTTGTCAACCTCATTAATAGGTTATGTGATTACTATATAAGAAAATTGCTACAGACACAATCACAGAAAATTCTTAGTAAATGTTGCAGTGGTTATACCTTTTTAGAATTAAATGAATTCAATAATTTGTTTGTAGAGATCCAAGGACTGTATTGCCATGTTCAAATTATCTGACAAATATATGATAGCTTTCTGTAATGAAGTGTCTTGTCCTGCTAAAAGAATAATTAAAATGATTTCTTTGGGATAAAAATCTTTCTGCTGTGGTGAATAAAAATATGATAGACATTCCTTAATATTTTTAACCTTTTAGTTTTTCTTTTAACATTATGATTGGGAGCATTGTGACATAATTTTAAAAAATGACAGCTATTTCTCTTTCTCTTTTGTGTTCCTGAGGTATAGGTAGAAATGAGAAGTTCCTTTAGTTCATATAAGTTAATTGGCAGCTGACCTGCAAAGGCAGGTGGGATGGTAAGCAGGGGGTTTCAGGTGCCAGGATATTTGGAGGAGCTGTATAAACTTAATGGGACTGGCTAAGCACTTTGTGAAATTACCCAATTTCTCTAAAAATATCTGTCATTATTTTATGAGGCCATTCCTGTCCTTTGTTTCCTTTTGTAAGCTAAATAAAACTTTTCTCGTTTCTTTTTGAGAGAGAAAAATTCTAAGAACAGTCAGTTAACCATTTGTTTTCAGACATATGTATTAAAGGAGAAAGCGTCAATTCTACCATTAACGAAACTGGGCTATGTTTTGTCAAGGGAGATTTATTAGTCTTTAACCTTTTTTGTGTGTGTGAAGATGGGAGAATATTCTAGAACTGTTGCAGGAGGAGTAATGCTTCTCTCAATCGTTGTTTAAATCTCAAATTTTGCAAATAGTGGAACAGAGAGGTTATGATTTATTTTTTCAGACATATGTTTTCTTTTATAGGTACAAGAACTGACCAAAGAGTGGACGAACAAGTGGAATGAAACCCAAAATATTCTGAAAGTAAGGCATAGATAAATAAATATAGTCATTTTGTCTTTCTTCAGCTTTTTTGCTTATTTTTTTTCTGTCTTGCTTTAGTGTATTGCAAGTAGTTCATTTTCGGGAGGTTTTTAGAGTAAGTATGCATTCTGATGTTTTGGAATAAAATTAAAAATAATAAAAATAGTGCAACTCTTTCTTTGACATGCCATAGTGGACCTCATGCTGCAAAAATGTTAGTTTCTTACAAAGTTTTTAAATACTGAATATTTTTTGTGGATTGCAAATGAAGGAAACATGGCATGGGGGCAGGTAGCTCTCTCTTCTCTTGGCATTTGGATTGGAGTATTTACAGGTCTGGCTGATGCCCTTTATGTTGCATTTGGTATCTCAGTATTTAAGCCTTCACATCCTGCTATTCACACAGAACCTGCAGTGGTTGGAGTGTAGTACATACAAGCATTTAGCATTATTTTTTTTCTCCTTGTCACTAACCTGAGATCTGTTTTCTGTAATTGATTTTTTCTGTGTATCACTTTGCTTTTTTCTTTTAATTATTATTCTTTTTTAAGTTCACCTCTGTGTCTTCTACCAGACTTCCAAATAAGTAAAATGGATGCTTAAAATTGAAGCACAGAGAACAAATAATTTAGAGTACAGAGCAGGATTGGTATGGTAATTGGCTGGCAGATGGCATGACAGAATGGACTGTTTAATGTTTGTGCAGATATATGGGACTGGGAATTACCATTTATGTATTCCTCAGAGATGTTTTAAGTCCAGTTTTACACTATTCTTTTTTTTTTTTCTCTCTCTCTTTTGGATTATCTATATGTACATAGTTCTTCCTTTACCTCTCCTTCCCATTTGAAAAAAATACAAAACTAAATTCTTGATTGGAAGAGTCATTGTTACAAGGAGATTTTGTGAATTTTAGTCAGTTATGAAGTGAGCATAATGTAGCATATGGAAAGTCTTCACAGATTAATGTTGGAAATGCACTGATTCTTCCATAGAAATTATGGAATTATAGGAAGAATAGAACAATTGCTATAAAGAGGATAAATTATAAGCATGACAATTTTTGCTATGTGGCTGCAAGACTTGAACACAGAAGCCAGGCTTGTGATATTCTAGTACCAAGCTTTTATTATTTTAATTCTCGCAACTTCTGTGTTTTACATTTTTATATGCTGATATTTCAGCGTATAAGTAGAGCTTACGTTATAGGTTAAAGGCAATTGGTAAAACTTTTTTGGCCATTAAAAAAGGGAATTTTGCAGAAGATTTATTGGTTCCACTGCTTTATTCTACATCATGTTACTGAAGCTATGCATATTTTTCTTCACTTCGTTTAGTGACTCTGGAAATCACTGCTACCACATGATTAGGAAAGGACTTTTTGAAAGTTTGCGGGACTGAGTAGCTCAAAACCGAATTATAAACTGTAGAAAGCAGTGGTGGTTAGTGTAATTTGAGTTATGGTTGCTAAAAGATTGTCTAAGGTGCTCACAGTTAGATGAGACTTGTTTATTATCAATCAGTGAAAATTTTTAAATATTTTAAAATTTCTTCCTGCAGTACATTTAAAAAAAAGACTATAGTGCCAAATTTATTTTTTTCTGACCCATTTGCAAGTGTTCAAATACTAATAAAAATTTCATTTTGGTTTACTCAAATAGTTATTGAGATGGGATCTGATGACTTATTGTTTGGAATTTTCAAAGGGATTTCTTGCAGCTATTTCATTTCACTTCGTATTTTACATTGCATACACACACACACACACACACACACGCAGAAACACATTCTCTGTATGGGAGTGCATATTTCACAAATGGAATGCGAACTGTGATGTGTGGAGCAGGTGAAAATTAATATTGCAACAGACATCTGGCTTTTTTATAGGTTTCTGAGGTCATTTGCTTGACTTTTTTCTTCTAACCAGTTTGGAATTCACTTTCTATACTTAAATAAATGCAGAGCAGGGTCGGCTTTATCCCCAAACCTGCCAAGTTCTTTTTTGTTTTTTGTGAAGAATGCAGAAGCAGGTAGGTTCTTGAGGCACCTAATCAGCACTGAGGATCCATTGCAAATCTTCTGCTAATACAAACCCTTGGAGAAATTAAGAGTTGGGAGGGCAGTGCCACTGATTTCCAAATGTTAGGATATGTGTTACAATATCTAGCACTTATCCTGAAACCAAATATACCAAGTAGTGAGTGGCATATTTGGTAAGCACCTGGGGAGGGGAGAGCAAGATGTTTTGAAATAAGTTTCTAGAGTTTAAGATTGAAGGTGGGGAATTGTGGATTCAAATTAAAACTCTTTGGTCCAGAAGTCACTCTGGAGGAGCAGAATCAAAGGTGTTTTTTCCTGTACAGATGGCAGGGCTTGCAGAATCTGGTGTAACTCAGGAAAAGCCTAATCATAAAAAACCTTAAGGAAGGAAGAACAATTTCAGTTTATGACTTTGTTGTATCTGTGTTGGTCAGTGTCTTCATTCTGTGTGTGTCCATCTCTGCAGCCTTTCATAGAAAGGCCTCTCGGGCGCGTGGTAGGAGTGGAGAGTCTTGCCCGCACAGGGAAAAGCAAGGCAGAAGCTGGAAAGTAGTATCTGGATGATGAAGGTCTGCAATCTTGCCTACCTTTGTCTCTCCTGCAGAAAAGAAAGGGGGTTAACTGTCTATTTCCTCCTAACTTCTGTTTTGTCTGGCCTTGTTAAGAAGGGTAGTTGGTGTTTAAGAGAATGGTCCTCCTGGTGTTTTCCTTTCCTCTGCCTTTGGACGGAGTGTTCCAGTGCCTGGTTTGACTCTCCTGAGCTAGTTCTACTAAAGGCTATTCCTGACCTTTAGTTCTTGCTCCACAGCAGCCAACGCCACCAGGCTTGGAGAATCTGATCTCCTTTTGCCCATTGGTCCCTAACACCTTTTGCCCCAAATCTTTTAGTTGATTATGAAAATTCGTGTAACCAGATAACTGCTACTACACATATGCCTGCCAAATGTAAGCACGTTGCTACTGACTGAATGGCATTTCCCAGGTCACAGGCATTTTCACACTTGATTCTGAGTATCAGAGCGCACATGTTTTTGAATTATTTTCACAGTGCAATGCGAAAAATCTGTAAGTGTTTAAACTCCCAAACAGTTGAAAGGATTGTGCATGAGTCTTGAAAAATGCAAGAAGTGAGGTTTGTAGTGCGTGGTAGTGTATTTTATTAGATCAACAGATGTGGCTGGAAAAAATTATCTAGTCTTTCTGAATTCAGTGTTTTCATCAGGCCTAACAAAGATAATGCATTCAAACCTTATTACTGTTTTGTGAGGAAGATGTTTTCTGAGATTCTTTGCTCCTCCCAGTAATTTTCAACTTTTAAATTATACCAGCAAAAGCCAAATGCTACTTCATATTTTGTCTTTTTTTAGTTCATCTTTACTTATGTTTTCCATCACAGTGTGAGTCTTCAGGCTGAGTGTGGATTATGAATTTGGGCTTGGAGTTTGGTCTGTATGTCTTAAGGCTCTGCAGATTTTTTATGGTTCTTCAAATACACCATTGCCTTCTTGGACACATCTTGGACTCGTGATGGTAGTATTGAAAGCATGTTCAATTTCCCACATTTGGGAAAAGCACTTTTGGAGGGAGACTGGGGTTTCTGTGAAATCTGCATTGCTGTTGGCTCAGTTCTAAAGCCCCAATCCTCCTGGTCCTCATAATGGATCAGGACCCAGCACTCTTTTTAAATTGGGCTGACTATAAGAAGTATCCATTGCTGCTTAGGATGGCAGCTGCTTGGAATTGTTAATGTGGCCAATGTGCCGAGCAGTGTTTCCACTGCTGATGTTTCTCATGCTCGTTCTCATGCTTGACCTCTTCTCTATAATATGGCATGACAACCTGACTTTACTGATCTAGCATTAGTCTGGCCTCTGGGCCTCTCTTTAATTGAAGGGAAGATATTTTAATGCTTGAGAAACCTAATAAAAGATATGTAGAGTGATGCATAGTGTGGTGTGAAAGTGCTGCTTTGTGCAGCTTTGAAATATTGTGTGATTGTTTTTAAAGCCCATCTGGTTTGGGTCATTTCCTCAAATGCCTTGAGCTCATTTGAACTTTGCAAATACATTTTCTTCTCTCTCCAAGTGTCCTCAGCACTTGTTTAACACCAGGATTTTGCCTCCATACTGTTTTCACTAATTTCTCTACATGTTTTTTTCTTTTTTCCTGTTAATAATCTTTCATGCATCTCTCTCAAAAGAAGGGGAGGAGAGAAGAAAATCTGTTTGCACTTTTCCTTCATTTAGTCCTTTTATATGGTCCTGTCAAAGATCAATCCGAGGGTCTATAATTTCTTCAGATGGTTTCTAAGATGGTAGAGTAACCTATCCTACTTTTGTTTTTTTTCCCCTTTCTTTGAGACTTTAATTGGCACAGAACTTTTTTGATGTGACTATTACATTTGAGTGCATGTGTTGTCATCCTTCTAGAGATCTTTTTTATTAGCATTTTATTTTTTTTTCCTCTTTTGTGAGTGCTTCAATTCCTTTCCCTAACCTTTAGCAGCTTTTCTATTAATCTTTTTAAAATTTGTTTTCCTTTATATAATTCTCTGAGATACTTTTCCCTTCCTTTCTTTTAGATTTCTTTTCTCTGCTTTACTGTTTGTGTAGAAGTTTGTGCAATATTTTGAGCCTTTTGCTTTTCTGATGCATGTCATTCTTGCCTACTGCACAGATATATTTAGGTGCTCATTTCCTTTGGTGTTAAGCAGTGTTAGAGCTACCTTGCATTTCATCGATCCTGCTGTTTGATTCTAATCATTTAGTTCACATTGTGTGAGAGAGCTCAACTGCTGTCAAAGAATGCAGAGATCTGTCTTTGCAGAGTCCATTAAAAGACAGGGTCCTATCTTGATTTTTTTTTTTGTGTAATTCTTACAATCAATAATTTAACTAGCAGCTTCTTCTGACTCTGTCTTGTTGGATTTGGTGACACAGCCTCCTCACTTCCATAAATAG